GTGGCTTTGAGGAGGTGGAAGACCAAACACAGCAGGCGTCCCAGAAGGCTTGTTGTCACCTTTTGGGGAACCTTGGTGTTGTACGTGGCTGGGTGGAGGAAGAGACCTTCAATGACATCAGTGAGGACAAGGAACGGGACATGGCTAGCTTGGTATCTAACCTTGTGCAAATGGGGAGTTTGCGGTTGTGCAAATGGACTGTTTGCGGTTGTTTGCGGTGCGTTAAACGGGGAGTTTGGTCTGTCACTGTGAAGCGGGCGTAACCCTTACACTACCTGATCGATACAACATCATACCTGATGTTTTAAAGCACGTTATTCCAAACAATTTAGGAATGTTAGGTGATTTATGCCCTTTATGGATTAAAACCAGACTCTGCATCAACTATGTAATTTTCCATGGGAGTTTTGCCATGGATCCCCCTCCGGCATGCCACAGTCCAGGTGTTAGTCCCCTTGAAACAACTTTTCCATCACTATTGTGGCCAGAAAGAGTCCCTGTGGGTTTTAAAATTCGCCTGCCCATTGAAGTCTATGGCGGTTCGCCCGTTCGCGAACATTTGCAGAAGTTCGCGTTCACCGTTCGCGAACCGAAAATGTTATGTTCGCGACATCACTAGACAGAAGTTCTGTTGCACATCTTAAAATTATAAAGTTATATTGGTTATTTTGAAGTCCTGTGCTCTTCATTTTAAATATGATCTTGTGCTGAAGTATGCACTTAGCAATGAGAATACGTGCTCATTACATATTTGTTACATATTAACGTTTCTGTGTGTTTATGCATATATACATGTATGTTACCATTTTCCCCGTTGCATGACTTGTGTGTCTCTTCCAAGCCCCTGTCTGTGCCTCTGTATGTCTCTTTTCACCCAGCCCTTTTTGTGTGTCTTTCGCCCCCAAACCCCTTTGGTGTTTCTCCTAGCTCCAGCCCCTTTGTCTCTCTCCACTTGTCAGGATTATAGTTGATCCAGCACGCAGAATAGTATCACACCTAGGACTAAAGATAATGTCTAACCCATGGGTCATCAACCTGGTCCCTACAGCCCACCAGTGGGCCTTTTAGGATTCCAGGTGGGTAGTAACAGAATCCTCCCTCCATCCTGAGAGATGAATGCTCTATTCATTTCTCGCTCACTCAGTGGTAAGCAGGAAGTGCAAGGTTGCAGATGTGAGTGCATGAAAGCGTGAGCGTGTGTGCCTGAACGCACATGTGCACCCTTATCGCGCGTGCGTACGCACGTGCGAACGCGTCCGCTCATGAGTGAGTGTAACACGCGGGTAGAGGGAGAGGAGGAGTTGGAGTAGGTAGGGGAATACACAATAGCAGGGAGTGGAGTACTTGTAAAAAAAAAAGGAGAAAGAAGGAGCAGAGTACTTGTAAATAAAAGGAGAAAAAGGGAGCATTTGTAGAATAGGAGAAAGAAGTAGAGTACTTGTAGAATAGGAGAAAGAAGGAGCAGAGTACTTGTAAAAAATGAGAAAGAAGGAAAATAAAAAAATATAAAAGGAAAAGGAGCGAATTGTTGTTGGCTAATAATAGTAAGTGAGCTACCTAGCTCAGCCTTCCTACTGGGCCTTGCAATAAGGAAGGTAAAAAAAACAGAAAAAAGGAAAAAGGGAGGGGGGGGGGATTGAGGAGGGAGAGGAGTGGAGCTGATGTACGGATGAGAAATCATATTATGAGCAAACAGAGAAATCATCTGAATATCACCAAAAGAGGAGACCTTCGTTTGTTCCTTACGTAAATCGAGCCAGATATCAAATATTTAGTATTGCAACATCAGCCTCAAGGATCTCATTAATCACTAGTAAAGGTAATTTCAATTTACTTTATTGTTTTCTCATTAAATTTTATAAAGTTAAAAACATTATAAACATGCATAATGTAGAATTAAAAAATAAATGTACGTACTTTTTTTTTTTTTAAAAAACACCCTCCTTTCTAAAAAATATTCTGCACTTGCGTGAAAACTGGTGGGCGGTAAGGAAATTTTTCCAATGAAGAAAGCTGCATTAGTGGGCGGTAGGTAGAAAAAGGTTGACTACCCCTGGTCTAACCGGACCTTAGAATGGTCGGACTTAACGTGCCAGAGAATAGTCAAAATACTTGCCGCGGTCAGGGACACAGAATCAGACACACGATAAGGAAAGCTAGAAGTGAAGGATATCAGAAATCAGGGAAGTCGAAACAAAGTCAAAGTCAAATATCAGAAAAAACACGATCAGGAACACACTCTCGGATAACCAGCTAGTGGAAACCACGACAGGGCACTGACAAAAAGGTAATTTGGGTTTAAATACTCCGCTTTAGGCTGTAATTGGCTGTCTCTGACCTCTGACCCCAAAAGGTGCGTGCGCGTCTATGACGTGACGTCGTACGCACGTTGGCGCCATCTTAAATGTGGGCAAATGTAAGTTTAATATGAAAACCTGAATCGCAGCGGCCAGCATTCTCAAGAACGTTGCACCCGCTGGGGACCGGAACGGAAGGAGACCGGGCATCTGCCCGCCGTTACCAAGGCAAGTCTGAAACATCTCTGTCGGAGTGGCTGCCATGCCTGCAGAAGAGCTGGGAGCTGTGACACCCCTTCCCCGGCCCCTCTGTGTTTCTCTTTTTTTATTTTATTTTCCTCGGAAACTCTGTGTGTCTCTTTCCCCAGATTCCCTCTGTATGTCTCTTTCTTCCACCCCAGCACCTCTGTGTGTCTTGTTTCCCTTTCCCAGCCCCTCTATATGTCTCTTGTTCCCCTTTTCCAGCCCCTCTGTGTGTGTCTGGACTTCACCTGTGGTTGCTGTCTATTACTCTAAGTCTACTTGAGGCAGATTACTTGTTATCCACGTATATGACACTGCCCTCTCCCTATATATGTATACTTATGAAATGTTGTTTTTCTTAAAGTCGTATGCATGTGTATTACCTATTGTGTGTTTGTTGTATATATTTTATATATATATAATTTAGACTTGCTGTTTACATTTTTGGTGTTTAACCCCTTAAAACCGGAGGACGTACAATTACGCCCTCTAATAGGCGGCTCTAAACGCCGCCGGGCGTAATTGTACGCCCTCCGGTTTTTGTTAACTTACCCGGTCACCGGCGGTCCCACGCCGGCGATCGCGGTGGGGGGGACTCCCAGGGAGCCCCCCGCGGCCATCCGTCCTCGTTGAAGCCCCCCGGCCATGTGAGAGTGGGGTCCTAGCGAGGACCCCACAATCACATGGCCGGGGATAGCTGGCTTCTGTATTGCCGGCAGGGGGGCTGCCTGTAATGACAGGTGGTCCCCTGCTGGCTGAAAATAAAAATAAAATAAGTTAATGGTGTAAAAAAAAAATATATATACTTAGATCATATATATATATTATATATATATGATCTAAGTATATATATACACATATACATACACACATACACCGTCTAGGTGTATTTTACTATTAATATATATATAATTATATATATATATTAATATCAAATTACACGTAGACTGATACTGATTAAATATATATATAATTATTGTTATATATATATTTATATATATAATATAATTAAAAAAATGTAAATACGCTAAAAAATAAAATTAAAAAAATAATTAAAAATAAATAATTAAAAAATATATAGATGTGTGTTATTTCGTTCTAACTGTATTGTGAAATTAATATATATATATATATATATATCAAAATACACGTAGAACGAAATAATATATATATCTATATACATAAATATATACGTATATATCACTATATATATACCTATATATAAATAAAAATATTTAAAAAAAATTATATAGATATATACGTATATATACACATACGTATATATATACATATATTGATTCTACATATATATTTATGTAATATTTTTACATAATTAGGTATCTTAATTAATTACAATTAGCGGGACCTGCCTGACAACCCATGCCGAGAGTAAAGGGAATTTAATTTGCTAGCACTATATTTAACCTTATAACTTTCCAAGACACCATAAAACCTGTACATAGGGGGTACTGTTCTACTCGGGAGACTTAGCTGAACACAAATATTAGTGTTTCAAAACGGTAAAATGTATTACAACGATGATATCGCCAGTAAAAGTGACGTTTTTGCATTTTTCCGCGCTGAAACGGCATTACCGGACAATATTATTTGCTGTGATACTTTTACTGCACGGAAAACACAAATAACTGTGTTCGTTAGCCCTGTGGGGCTATATTATTTCAAAAGTTACAGTGTCAAATATAAGGCTTGTGTTTCATTTTTTTCACATTAAAATTCGCCAGATTGGTTACGTTGCCTTTGAGACCCTATGGTAGCCAAGAATGAAAATTACCCCTATAATGGCATACCATTTGCAATAGTAGACAACCCAAGGTATTGCAAATGGGGTATGTCCAGTCTTTTTTAGTAGCCACTTAGTCACAAACACTGGCCAAAATTGGCGTTTTTTGCATTTTTCACACACAAACAAATACTAACGCTAACTTTGGCCAGTGTTTGTGACCAAATAGCTACTAAAAAAGACTGGACATACCCCATTTGCAATACCTTGGGTTGTCTACTATTGCAAATGGTATGCCATTATGGGTGTAAATTTCATTTCCGGGCTACTATACAGTCTCAAAGGCAACGTAACCAATCTGGCGAATTTCAATTTCAAATGTAACGTGCTATATTTGACCCTGTATCTTCCCAAAATGCCATAAAACCTGTACATAGGGGTACTGTTTTACACGTGAGACTTTGCTGAATACAAATATGTGTATTTTATTGCAGTAAAAGCAAACAGTATTATGACATTGACAGTTAAAATGTCATGTAGAACAAAAAAAAAATCGTATTTTCTCCCATTTTTTTCATATTAAATTGTTTCACAGCTAAATATTTGATATTAAATGAAAGCCCTGTTTCCCCTGAATAAAATGATATATAATAAGGGTGGATGCATTTACTATGAAAGAGGTGTATTACGGTTGGACAGACATGTAGCGCAAATGCCAGGTTTTGTTTACATTTTGTTTTGTTCACAACGTGTACATTTGACTCCATCATTAAGGGGTTAACTATAAACACAGGGGAATGTTTCCAGTTCGGTTACCCTGGCCTTGAGTTTGAATTCTCTATGGGTGAATACCCCTTTTGGAGCAGTGACTCCTGGCAGTGTTGCCTAGCGACTGTCAGTTCCAGTACCTGCCTGTTACCATAGAAACCAACTCGTTTCCTCCCCCCCCCCCATGTTGACGTAAGAGCGTGACGTCAGCAAAGGGCGCCCTCCCCGCATCCCACTGGGCCTATAGCGACCTCGGGAATAGCTCTGAGGGTGGCAGCCAATAGGCGTGCAGAGGGGGTGTGGCCTTCCGTGTCGTAACCAATCAGTGCATAGTGGGTCAGACCGGAAGAAGTTTGCCTTCTCCTACACGTGGGTCCGGTGTGACCGGGGCAGGGAGAGCCATCATGTCTGGCCTGTTTATTAAGAAGGGATCGGAAGGTCCCGCGCGGAGGCGGCGGGCGGAGGTCAGTGAGGCTGGGTGCTCCTGCTGCCTGTATTTGTTATTAGAGGGATATGGGGGCTCCGTGTCTGCGTCCCCCACACTCATGGTTTAGATCCTGTGGACCACGTTGGAAATTATGTTCAGCCATACAAATGGATGGCAGAGGATGATGGGTAATGTAGTCCACAGTATCTGGAGAGAGTTCCTCCTTTTATCAGTGTGGTGAGCCATAGAATTCTGCAGTGTTTTAGGGGCAACTACAAAGTTTGACATTTCTTTAGCTTGGCAAAGCTTCATGGAAGTTTTAACCCTGCATGAAATGGATGTTTACCCTGGGACCCCCTTTGTGTTAAGAGTTTATTTCCATTAAATGTTACATTGCTTGCAAACCTTCACTATATTTTGCTGGTGAGTCCTTTCTCACAGACATGCTTACCAAAGAGTGCATGTCCTATGTAAATAAAGGAATACTCTAAGCCTCGATCACTGTAGCTCACTGAAGGGTTTATGGTGAGTGCTCTGGCACATTACCAATGCAAGTGGTCCAACCTTTTTAAGACCAGCTTGACAACTTATATTGGGTCTATCGGTTGCTTATTCAAGCAGTAGCTCCTACGCGGAGTTAAATGACCACTATAGGCACCCAGACCACTTCAGCTTAATGAAGTGGTCTGGATGCCTGGTCCAGCTAGTGTTAACCCTTTTTTTTTTTTTTTTTTTTTTTAATAAACTTAGCAGTTTCAGAGAAACTGCTGTGTTTATAAATAGTTTAATCCAGCCTCTAGTGGCTGTCTCATTGACAACTGCTCGAGGCGTTTGCGTGCTTCTCACTGTGAAAATCACAGTGAGAAGATGCAAGCGTCCATAGGAAAGCATTATGAATGCTTTCCTATGAGACTGGCTGAATGCGCGCGCAGCTCCGGCTGTGCATGCGCATTCACCCGAAGAGGAGGAGGAGGAGAGCTCCCTGCCTGCCGCTGGAGGAAGGTAAGATTTTAACCCCTTCTCCCCAGAGCCTGGCGGGAGGGGGTCCCTGAGGGTGGGGGCACCCTCAGGGCACTATAGTGCCAGTAAAACGAGTGTTTTCCTGGCACTATAGTGGTCCTTTAAGCCTGATTGGGTGTTTGGAGTTTTCATTTAATGCAAAGTAGTTAACAGTGTCTTAAGGCATTGGTGGTTAAATGGTTAATTCACACACAATGACCACTACAGCCTGCAACAGTTGCCTGGGTTTACCTGGGTGTCTAGCCTGCTCTGAAGCAGTGTTCGCGACACATGGAAACATAGAATGTGACGGCAGATAAGAACCATTCGGCCCATCGAGTCTGCTCAATTTTCTAAATACTTTCATTAGTCCCTGGCCTTATCTTATAGTTAGGATAGCCTTATGCCTATCCCACGCATGCTTAAACTCCTTTACTGTGTTAACCTCTACCACTTCAACTGGAAGGCTATTCCATGCATCCACTACCCTCTCAGTAAAGTAATACTTCCTGATATTATTTTTAAACCTTTTTCCCTCTAATTTAAGACTATGTCCTATTGTTGTGGTAGTTTTTCTTCTTTTAAATATAGTCTCCTCCTTTACTGTGTTGATTCCCTTTATGTATTTAAATGTTTCTATCATATCCCCCCTGTCTCGTCTTTCCTCCAAGCTATACATGTTAAGATCCTTTAACCTTTCCTGGTAAGTTTTATCCCGCAATCCATGAACCAGTTTAGTAGCCCTTCTCTGAACCTCTCTCTAAGGTATCAATATCCTTCTGAAGATACGGTCTCCAGTACTGTGTACAATACTCCAAGTGAGGTCTCACCAGTGTTCTGTACAATGGCATGAGCACTTCCCTCTTTTTACTGCTAATACCTCTCCCTATACAACCAAGCATTCTGCTAGCATTTCCTGCTGCTCTATTACATTGTCTGCCTACCTTTTATGTCATCTGAAATAATCACCCCTAAATCCCTTTCCTCAGATGTTGAGGTTAGGATTCTAACAAATATTCTGTACTCTGCCCTTGGGTTTTTACGACCAAGATGCATTATCTTGCACTTATCCCACATTAAATGTCAGTTGCCACAATTCTAACCATTTTTCTAGTTTACCTAAATCATTTGCCATTTGGCTTATCCCCTCCTGGAACATCAACCCTGTTACATATCTTAGTATCATCAGCAAAAAGACATACCTTACCATCAAGACCTTCTGCAATATCACTAATAAAAATATTAAAGAGAATGGGTCCGAGTACAGATCCCTGAGGTACCCCACTGGTAACAAGTCCAAGCTTCGAATATATTCCATTGACTACAACCCTCTGTTGCCTGTCACTCAGCCACTGCCTTACCCATTCAACAATATTGGAATCCAAACTTAAAGATTGCAGTTTATTGATCAGCCTTCTATGTGCAACAGTGTCAAAACAGTGACAACTGGCTCCTGCAGAGCTGCTGAAGCCTGCTGCCATTTCTGGCACTCATTCATTCATCCATCAGTGTCGGCTGATCGCTTTCTGCCAATAAATTACATTTTGTGAATAGAGCTATGCACAGAATTGACATTAGCTGGCCTCGGATATCCTGTTCTGGGCTGGCTGCTGTCACCACAATGACTCTGCCGAAAGTGGAATTAACACCTCTTTGTAACTGTGCAGTGTTTCATAGCAAAACATGGCACCTTCTGACTCAAGGCACCATGAACACTTCAAATCACTGAATTGGTCATTTTGCCTGGAGTAACTCTTTAAAGCAATTCCATTGTAACACACAGGAAACCCACACATTAGCCCAACAATCCATTAACCGTGGAAAGGCTACTATAAATTATTTTTAGTCCCTTGTGGTGATGTCCACGACCTAAATAACATCCTAGAAGTTAATGCAGTGGCTTGAATTTTATGTAATTCCTGGTCGATTTCTAAACATTCCCTGAATAACCCTGAAGGTGCATGCATTGCTTGTGTGATATGTGTCCAGTCATAGCTATTGGAAAGATCAAAGGTGAATTCTCTGACTTGTGTAGTGTTTCAGAATATATTTATGCTCTCTAATTAGTTTGTACGGTATTTGGTCTAGTTTATCACATAAACAGAGCAAGTTGGTTCACTTTGTGCGTAGTTGAATGTTTTTCCAAGGGGTCTGAAGATCAGTATGTCAATATGGAAGGCTTTATGTGCATGCTGACCGTGCATTCTCCCCTCAGGCTGGAAACGCAGAAGTCACATCATTAAAGAAAAAGCAAAGAAAAGGTGCAAGCCTAAGGGAGGAGATTGAGAGTGACTCGGATACAGAGATGTAAGTGTCCTACAACTTTTGCTGACATAGAGTTTATGAATAGTGCATCTAACTTGCAAAAGTGGAGCAATCGCCATGGAAACCAATATTATATTCCTTCTGTTTGCACTGCTCTTCGGTAAACTAAATCCCCATTTCAGCTTTTGTTAATGCACTTCCTCACCATACAGTGTGCCTGTTCGACAAAAGCCCCAGGAGGATGAGGAAGACATAGAGGAGACAGCTCAGGAAAAAAAGCTGCGGCTTGCCAAAGAATATCTGAAGCAGTTGCAAGAGCAAGGTGAGACATGGACAATCTCATGGCTTTGCTGGGATTCAGCACCTTGTGTGTACAGGTGGAATTTTGTGTTTGATTTTTTTAATTATTTTTTCTTACCTTTCAGAGGAGGAGAGACAAGACGATGAGAACCAAGATCTCATTGGTAGCAGACTACAGGAGGACGTGGTAAGTTTTCCGTATGATTGCAGGTTAATGATGCTAGTGAATGAACTAGATAGGTATGTTTGTATTTCTTTTTGCTTTGTTTTGATTTTGTTTATGAATTTTATTATTAACTTATTATCTTTCTGTAGTTGGAGCAACGTGGAAAACTTCAACGACCTTTGGCAAAAGAGGTAATCCTATACTGAAATTAAAGATTATTTTTTTTTGAATACTCCCCTTAACCCTCTCATCTAAACTGTCTTTTCACCACTGATGTTGCTCTTCTTTGAAAGTTAGTTTTTCTCTCCCTGCTTCCTTTTCTATGATTTCTATGTCTGTTTTCAGTTCCGTTAGTTTTTAAGATTCTCAGTGCAAATGTTATTGTTTTTTAGTTGGTTCCCCCTGAGCCTTCAGAGATTCGACTACTTCGTGGTCACCAAGGACCAATCACCTGCCTTGTAATAACTCCTGACGATCAACATGTATTCTCTGGATCTAAAGACTGTTCCATCATCAAATGTGAGCACTGGGAATGCTAGAACAAGTTATGACTATGTAACTATGGATGGTTTTCTGGGATGATCATATTGTCATTCTGCCTTTAAATATGAATGTCAGTCTTCTGGGGAGAGTTCTAAAAGTGTAGCAGTGAACGGTATATTTGTTTCAGTGGTAACTGTTTGTTTTTGGAATCCTACAATTGCTCTTTACACATAGTTCCCTATGCACCTGCATGTTTTGTAAACTACTCTTTTGTGTGTATCCTCTGGCAGGGTCTACATGTGATGGGAAGAAGGTACATAAGATCCCAGGCGGTAGAAAGGGAAGTGAAGACAAGCATGTTGGCCACACTGGACATATTCTATGTATGGCAGTATCCTCAGATGGAAAATACCTGGTAAGGCAGTCGGCTGGTTGCTAAGTAACCATGCTATGCATTTGGAGTTATTTTATTTTAATGGTCAATCTCTTTCGTCTATACAGGCATCTGGTGATCGAAACAAGCTGATCTTTATTTGGAATGCTGAGACATGCCAGAATCTTCATAAATTCCAAGGACATCGAGATGCAGTGTCTGTACGTGAATTTCCTCCACTATCTAAACCAGGCGTGTCAGTCATTTGCTGTAAAGGACTTAATCTTACAATAATGTACATATGGATGGGCTTCTTTAACTCAAGAAAACAAAAACAACAAAATACATGCACAGATTACACAAATATGTAATTTTCAGTTCCCAAGTGCCACTTTGTTAATTCTTCTGGTCAGTGCCAACCTAACTCTGCTGGTGAACATACAAATAAATAGGATTTTGATTATATAGAAGTGACCCCTCTCAAGTAGAAACAATCAAAAGGTAATACAACCTTGATATGAGAACAGTTATAGTAGCCTGGAATATCTAAAGGGAAAACAGACTTTACCTGGTGTGATAAAGTAACACCAAAATAGACACACAATATAATTAGGAGGACTCACAAGAGTGTAAATAATGTCACTCATCCTTAAATGGGGCATCTGGAATAAATATTCTCCAACATGATGTATATCTTCCCAAACTTCACATGAAGCAAAAATAGTGCAGATTGCAGGTATAAAACAAGGATTTATTAAAATTGCACTCACAAGATAAATGGTGCATTAGGCATGTCTACACTCCCAGTGGATTTGGCTACAGCTACTGGTGTCTGAGTCAGCTCAATGAGAAGTCTTTGCAAAACAGGTTCCCTGAGCATTTGCGGTCTCTTGAGTTTAGCTCCACTGAGCTAATCAATCCAGGCCGTAACATGACCTGTTGCCTACCATGCAGTGTAACCAGGTTCATTTATAATTGAGTCAATTTTCATTGAAATATGATTTATTTTGTTTGTAAAAGGAAAAAATGACACCCTCTTCACTCACAGCTTTTTAGCAAGCTAAACTGATTAGGCTGATAGTGTCCCTTTAAGTAGGTAATGATGGGAGTCTGTGCAGTGCCGCTCTAATTCAAAAAGTAGCATATGGAATTCATTCTGAAGGATAGACCAGAGAAGATGTGGGGAGCAGGATAAAAACTGTTTAACTGTTGTGGAGAGACTTTAAGGATGTTGGCAATGGTAAAGTAGATCCGATTTCAGAGGGAGGTTGGCTGTATCTGGAGTGGGGTATTGACCATAGTAGAGAGCACAGGAGGCAATAGGTGAATGAATGTAGGAACACAAAGTAAATAACTTTTTTAATATGCATCTTACACAATGAGTTGACCTCCGTTTCCTTACATTCATTCACCAATTTCATTTTGTACGAACAGTTAACCACTCTAGTAAGATGAGAGAGAAAACTGTACCGCATGCTTAAAAAAACAGCCAACTTGAGTGATGAGCCTCACAACCCTGATCTAAAATAATGAATTTTGTTTTTATTTTATTTTTTTTATTGGCTTCATATTTTCATCTTCTCTTTTTACTCTTGCAGGGTTTATCCTTCCAGAAGGGCAAACATCAGTTGTTCAGTGCATCACACGATCGCTCTGTTAAGGTGTGGAATGTTGCTGAAAATTCCTACATCGAGACGCTGTGAGTATATTGCTGTGGGTTAGTTCAGAAAATCAGAATGTGTATTGATATAGTAAAGGGTTATTCCAAGCATCATAACCACTACAGCCTGGTTATGCCCTCTTACCTGGATCCTGGTCTTCTCTCTAGCCGGTGACTACACACAGCTTCTATAGAAGCCGGAAGTCAATCTTGCTAGCCATTCATTTTCCAAGGATGCAATTCAGTTGATTGTGAAGAGCCTAAGAGAAAGCATACATGTTTTCAGGACACTATATTTCTCAATGTCCGTGCCCTTTAATTGAGAAAGGACTCTGTCCTGAAATGTCTTTTCTTTTATGCTCTTTGCAATAAAGTATTTGCAGACAGGGGGCCCAGCATTCAACAATCTGATTGTTTAGTTTTGCTGTGTTTAGTGGCTGCCACTGGTAAGAACCAGTGATGGCTTATACATTGTATGGCATGGGTGTTCAACCTTTTAGTTTCCCTGGGCTGCATTGAGCGAAGAGGAATTGTCTTGGGCCACACATCAAGCAGGCAACATTCGGCACTCCAGATGTTGTGAACTACATCTCCCTTGATGCTGGAGTGTCGATGGTTGTCTACCTCGATATAGATAATGCATATAAGGAATATATCTGTAAAAGCCCTTTTCTTAATTTTAATATTTTAATTTAGTAAATAACTCCATTATTTGTTATCCTTAGGTGGGATTTGCATATTTAAGGATATCAAATTATCTATTAAACACATGCACATGTATATACATATGCGCACATAATCAGACACACACACAATCACAGACCCTATATACACCATAACATACATACATACACCCACACTCCCAGACCTATATACACAATCACACACACACACAATCAGACCAACACACACACATAGGTCATGTCAAACTAACCTAATTGCATTCTACGAAGAAGTAAGTTGAAGTATAGATCAGGGTGTTGCAGTGGATGTGATCTACTTGGATTTTGCCAAGGCATTTGATACAGTTCCTCACAACAGGTTAGTCTTCAAACTAAAAGAAATTGGTCTAGATGAATATTCTTGTTCTTGGGTAGAACACTGGCTTAAGGCTAGAGTACAACGAGTTGTCATTAATGGTAAATTTTTAGTCTGGATGTAAGTGGTGTCCCTCAGGGTTCTGTTTTGGGACTGCTTCTATTTAACGTATTTATAAATGATCTTGAAATGGGCATTGAAAGCCATGTTTCGGTGTTTGCAGATGACACAAATCTTTGTAAAGTAATAAAATGTGAGCAGGATATTGCTTTGCTGCAGAGGGATTTGGATAGATTGGGGGACTGGGCACTTAAATGGCAGATAAAATTTAATGCAGAGAAATGCAAAGTTATGCACTTCGGGGTCAAGAATGCACAAGCAACTTACATCCTAAATGGTAGTGAATTAGGGATAACCACACACGAGAAGCATTTGGGAATTGCTATAGACAACAAATTAAGCAGCAATATGCAATGTCGATCTGCAGTTGCTAAGGCCAGTAAGGTTTTGTCATGTATAAATAGGGGCATATTTTCTCGGGATGAAAATATAATTTTGCCTTTTTTTATAAATCGCTGGTAAGACCGGACCTTGAATATGCTGTGCAATTTTGGGCACCTGTTCTAAAGAAAGATATCATGGCACTAGAAAAAGTACAAAGATGAGCTACAAATTTGATAAAAGGAATAGAGCATTTTAGTTACGAAGAAAAGTTAAAAAATTTAAATCTCTTTAGTTTGGAAAAACAGCGCTTCAGAGGAGAGAGAACATTATGTAACCCGCATGTGGTTCCCTTATTTACCACTATAATGTCTTACAGCATAGAACTTAGTAGGGCTAACCATACAGATATCTTAGCCATAATTTTATATATTTAGTAAGAGATCCTCTATTTACCATTTATAAATAATTGAGAATACAATATAAAATAAGGATTGTCTTGGAAGCAATAGTTTTGTCTTTTTGGATATTTATTATATAAAAATATAAAATCCATTATAGCAGAGTTTATAAGATTAAATTACATGCTTGCAAATATCATTAATAGGTTAACATACCCTTCTGAACATGTCCTCATGTCAGCCTATCTGTCATTTTAAGATGGAGCAGCGTCTGTCTCCAAGTCTCTCCTCTGTGTCTTAACATTTAAAAGTACACCTATTTATACCTTAGGTGTCTCCATTTTCGGGTTACCGTAGTTCATATGTGAAAAAGTAACACTTCTTTTACTTTATTCATTTTAGGACCTCCCTTAATTTGGCAAACATACAAGGCCATAACTAAAGGGTGCAAACGTCATGGAAATTTTCCTGACTTAGTTCAAGATGGCATCTTAAAGTCTGAATAGGTTATCTGTTGTTTATACTACGTCGTAAGTGCACAGTTGTGGGAGATTCCCGGATTTGGGGAAGATCCATTAACTTGGGGTTACCACAGTATATTGTGTACTGAAAGAGTCGTAGCATAGCCTTGAAGCTTGTTTATGCATTATTGTTGTTGTAATTCGTCTGGGACAAAATGGCACAAACATATTATGCACTGAGGTTATTGCTTAAAGAAACCTCTATGAAAAACAATATGTTCCATTTCTAACACCTTGTCAGTTTGCAATATCTCTTAAAGACAAAGTACACAGTTTAAGAAATACAACATTTCATTCTAAAACTTGTAATATTTACATTTGCCCATAACAATTATACAAATATATTCGTGGCCAGTACAAACCATTATCTGGAAATCTATTCATAAACAGGGCTATACATAGGACACGAAGTCAGGCATTTAGGCTGGAAGAAAGGAGATTTCATTTTTTTTTTTTTTT